GATTTTGGTGAGTAGACTTGGTTTTGACTGAATTTCAGATCGAAACTCGAAGAAGAAGACATATTGCAGAAATTGTAGAAAAATTGTAGATAAATTGTAGACAAATTGTAGATAAATTGTAGATATTTTATAGATAAATTGTAGATTATTTGTATTCTGATTGTAGATGCTTTGTTTTCTGTTTTCACAATTCAAAAACGACTAAAACTTCTACAAATCTTCTGCAAAAAACCGCAATTATGTTAAAAATCCCAATTACGCTACAATTGAATGGGAATTGGGATATTAAAATTCAATGTACCCATGAATGCAACAAATTTTTGTAAGACGAAAAATAAACTGCAACAAAAATAATATAAAGAAAAAGAGATTTTATTGATAAATATTTGTGAGTACAATTCTATGTATTCCTTGATTCTCCTCTCTAAAATTCTCCGTGATTCGAGGGCTTGTTAAGCGTCTTTCTCGAATGTAGGATGATGCAGACCTCCTTGTGATGTATTTAATCGCCAAGAACGTCGAGCAGCACTTTGTTGTTACGGGTTGATCTCCGGGAAGAACTCCGTTGATCACTCCTTTGTTGAAGAACTAAGCACTTGATGATTGATCTCTATGTTTGTGGATGCCCTCACCAGTTGCGGAGTGTTCTTCTCCAACTCTAAATGTCCTCTGAGAGTTATGTAACCCCTCTATTTATAGTTGTAGAGGATGGACAGTCAAGCTACATAAGAACTCTCTTGCTTGATTCTGATTGGCCCATGTCATTTTAGCCACTTGGCGACTTGTGGTTGGTTCTTACTTTTTGACTTGGATTGCCACATCATTTAACACGTGTCGTCACCTTATTGGCCTGGAGTTTGACTGGATATGCCATGTCACATGGCATAAGTCTGGCCTTGAAGATGAAATAGAGTTTGGGCGTGAAAATAATAAAATGGACTAATTTAACTTGTAAAGCCCAAATTAACTATTTTACCCAATTGAATTTAATCCAAATTTTGTATAGATTAGACCTAATAAATTTTATATGTTTACAGATGCCCCCTACTTCAAGATTTGTCGAGGTGTAAACTTGATGGACCTTAGCGACGAGGCTTGAAGTACCAGTGAAGACAATGATTCTCTTAGTCTCCTAACAAAAAACACTTGCTCATGCACTTTGATTGAGCAATATGTGAAACCACATAATTATAGTGATAAGTAGATTCTAGTTAAATAACCGATGTTGCATATTTAATTACAAAGTTTGGTAGTTTTTCCTTGTTTGGCGGCTTGGACTTAGTCAAAGAGAATCAATTTTACAACATGTAAAAATATTCCATGTAGGACAATATATCAAATTTGATAATAATCTTAGCCACTTGAGTTATTACTCCAATCAAATTTCCTTTAATTTGACGTACCCCACTAGCCGTTATCAAAATTACTTCACCCAATACAATGTTTTATTGGATTGAATCTTTTCCTTTTTTGCTACTGGCTTAATTTGACTAATTTCCATCAGAACACGGCAATTTCCTTGTTTGCACGCCTGGTGACTTGAGTGCCAAGAATTCCTTTAATTGTCTTCCCTTTCTTTATAAAATTTAGACCTCTCTCCCTGCATTGTAGTCACACCAGAAACCTTCTGTAATTTAATGAAAGCAGTACTATGTCCTCCTAAATTTTCTTTTATGTTTCCTTTTTTTTTTTGTTCTTAACCTTTGTTAATGCATGACTTGCTCCCTTTTTTGTTATTGCAGCAATTCGTTTAAACTAGCAAAAGCGAGAACTAGAAGCAACACAAGGACTCCGAGACCGCACATCATTGTGTAATTGACACAGAGAACGCAAAATCTGCAGAAACTTCGTTGTTCAAACTGGAGGCTCCGGAATCTCCTTTTCCTTTTGTTTCTTGCAGGAATTGACATCACCCAGGAAGGAAGTTCGAATCTGCAAACTCTCAGCAATTTGGATGGTTGTTTTGATATTAAACTTGGTCATAATTTCAAGCTTCGTGCCGTTGCCACCGATATACTTGCTGCTGAATCGGGAGCTTCGTGCAATTGGCATTGATCCTTGTAGAACCAAGAAGCTTCGTGCTATAGGCACCGTATCCACAGAAACTTCATGTTGTTGGCCTCGAGGATTTCCAAATATTGCGGGCTTTTGCGAGAGTACCGGCGGTCTTTGATATCCCTAGGAAGATGAATTGCAAGCAAACCACTAGTCTTTTTGTTGTGGCTCGCCGAGAAAGGCCATTGGAGTAAGCTTTTCCAACTTTGGCGAGCAAGCACTTCGCGTGTCTCTGCTGTTTATATGCTTCGTTATTTGTGTTTTTATGTGGTCAAGTTGATTGGTTTGAGTTCGGAGTGAAATTGGTAAGAAATGAGACACTTAGTCTCTTTTAAGAAGGCTTAAGTGGGAAAAGTCAACCGGATGTTGGCGTATGAGTTAGAGGGCTTGGATGTGAATTCCGATGGTTCGGTTAGCTTTGGAAGTGATTTGTGACTTAGGAGTTTGATCGGAAGTGGTTTTGGAGGCCCGGTGTAGAATTAGGCTTGAATTGGCAAAGTTAGTATTTTGGCGAATT